ATCTTACACTGTATACCAAGATAAAGTCAAAGTGAGTATATGATTAAGATATAAAGTCTGATACCATAAGCAAACTGGGAAAGCAAAGAATAGTTTACTTGTCAGATTTATGGAGAACAGAAGAATTTATGACCAAACAAGAGATAGAGAACATTATGAAATACAAAATGGATAATTTTGATTACATTAAATTGAAAACTGTTTGCACGAAGCCAATGCAACCAAGATTAGGAGGGAAGCAGAAAATTGGGGAAGAATTTTTACAACTGTCTCTGATAAAGGCTTCATATCTAAAATATATAGAGAACTGAATCAAATTTATAAGAATATAAGTCATTCCCCAATTGATAAATGGTCAAAAGATATGAATAGGCAGTTTTCAGATAAAGAAATTAAAGCTATTTATAATCATATGAAAAAATGCTCTAAATCACTATTGATTAGAGAAATGCACATCAAAACAACTCTTAGGTACCACATCATACCTATCAGATTGGCTAACATGACAAAACAGGAAAATTATAAATACTGGAGAAAATGTGGGAAAATTGGAACATTGATACATTGTTGGTGAAGTTGTGAACTGATCCAACCATTCTGAAGAGCAATTTGGAACTATGCCCAAAGGACTATAAAAATGTGCATACCCTTTGACCCAGCAATAACACTTCTAGTTCAGTATCCCAAAGAGATCAAAAAATGGGGGAAAGACCCACATGTACAAAAATATTTAAAGCAGCTCTTTCTGTGGTGGCAAAGAATTGGAAATCGAGGGGATGCCTATCAGTTGGGGAATGGCTGAACAAGCTGCAGTATATGAATGTAATGGAATACTTTTGTGCTGTAAGAAATGATGAGCAGGCAGACTTCAGAAAAACCTGGAAGGACTTAGATGAACTGATGCTGAGTGAAGTGAGTATAATCAGGAGAACATTGTACTCAGTAACAGGAACATTGTGTGATGACCAACTTTGTAAGACTTAGCTCTTCTCAGCATGCAAGGATCTAAGACAACTCCAAAAGACTAATGATGGAAAATGCTCTCCACATCCAGAGAAAGAGCTATGGAGTCTGAATGCAGATTGAAGCATACTATTTGCTCTCTCTTTTTTGTTTTGTTTTGTTTCTTCTTTCTCATGGTTCTTCCCATTCATTCTAATTCTTCTTTACAACATGACTAATGTGAAAATATACTTATAAGAATGTAGATGTAGAGCTTATATCAGATTGCATACCATCTTGGGGAGGGGGAGGGGAGGGAGGTGGAGAAAATTTAAAACTTAAAAGCTTATGAAGTGAATGTTGAAACCTAAAAATAAATAATTTTTTTTTAAAAAATAACTCAAAGTCATATCACAGTAATGGGTGTCATCCCATTATGATTCAGTAATAGCTATGAAATCAATTTTGTCTTCTTGCACTATAGCATGTGCTGCATGTGGATTCTTCCTGTTTGCCTGCTTGTGCAATATTTATTGTTTCTGCTAGGCATGATACTCTATGTTAGAATTTAAGGGTAATTGCAAAGATGATGAAACATGTTCTCTGACTTACAGAATCTTTCAAACCGCCGTACCTGATGATTGTCTTTTCTGTGACTCTTATCTCCATATTTTCACCTGATGTCAAAAGCTCTCTAGTCTGTTGTAAAAGGCCACTTATTTCATGTTCATTAATATGTGTTCCTCAAGGGAGATAGAATCTTACACATGGCCATTTGAAGTAAGCATGGAATCTCTATGAAAAATATTTCTTGAAGTATTTGCTATCAAGTTCAGTGTTGTCCAAGTATAATCCTATGCATACAAGGAACCAATTTATGGCATTAGATACATAAAAAATGGATGTCATCAATGTCAGGGCAACATCAGAGCTACAGTTCTCATCTCTGCAGAATTAAGGAGGAGGTAGAATTTAAAGATAGTACTCAATAGTCACCTATAAATAGAAAAATAACACAAATCTAAAATGTAGATAAATTTACAATTAAATTTCTGATGATCTAGTATATCATTCAATGCTTTAAGGGCTGGTCAAGAAGATCCTAAAGCATCTCTTGATCTTGATTAACAAAATCCATCATGAAAACTCCATAGAACCAACAATCCTCTTGGTTAGTCTTTTCACTGCCATCTTCATATCCTTATTCCTAAATGTATATATGATAGGGTTCAAGAATGGTGTTATAAGAAAGATAAAAATGAGCAAAAATTTATCCAAAGATAACGTGGGAACTTGCCACACATAGACAAAGAAACAAGGAGCAAAAAACAAGAATACCACAGAGAGATGAGCTGAGAGTGTGGAGAAAGCCTTGGACAAACCAGCTAAAGAGTGGTGTCTGACAGTGACCAGAATAATGATATAGGAGGTGATTAGGAGGAAGAAGGTACCCATGGTGACAAGCCCACTATTTACAGTGACTGCATATACCACCCTGGAGGTATCTCTGCAGGCAAGTTTTGCAACCTGAGGGAAGTCACAATAAAAACTTTCAAGCTTGTTAGGACCACAGAAGGGCAAATTTATAACAAAAACAAACTGAGACACAGAATGGAGTAACCCAATCACCCAGGCAATACCTGCAAAACGAATACATGCTTTGTGGTTCATAATAATCAGGTAATGGAGAGGCTTACAGATGGCTGCATATCTGTCATAGGCCATGGCTATCAACAAGACCAGCTCAGTCCCTCCTATGAAATGGATAAAAAACATCTGCATCATGCATCCTGAGAAGGAGATGACCTTATGTTCGCTGAAAATGTCAAGAATCATCCTTGGTACTGTTGTAGAAGACAGACCAAAGTCAGTGAGAGAAAGGTTGGCCAGCAAGAAGTACATAGGGGAGTGAAGATGAGAGTCAAAAATCACAGTGAACACAATGAAGAGGTTTCCCAGCATGATTCCCACATAGAATGAAAAGAAAAATAAGAAGAGGAAAATCTTCATCTCCCAAGAAGTTGACAGCTCCAGCATCACAAATTCAGTTACCACAGAGCTGTTTATACCATCCATTTTGAGAACTGGTATCACAGACACTGAAATGACCTGAGAGTAGAGAAAAAGCAAGAAATTAGAAGTGTAGGGAATTAAATTGCTTATCCTATTTGTTCCACCAATGATTTTGGAAGGCCCTAGATAGGAAACATAGAAGTTGGAGGAAATTTGAAAGGTCACCCAATTAAGAAAGAAAGGTTGAAAAAATAGAATTTAAGTACTCAGGAGCAGTAAGGAATTGAGGAGTAGGTGAGGCAAAGAAGTTACCAAAAAAAGGTCAAAGAGAATGCAGCTGACTGAGCAGACAGAAGTAGGAAATATAATTTTCCATAGCACAACAATATTCCATCACAATCATATGCCACAACTTGTTTAAACATTCACCAACTGATGGGCACCCCCTCAATTTCCGATTCTTTGCCACCACAAAAAGAGCTGCTATAAATGTTTTTGTAGATATAGGTCCTTTTCCTTTTTTTTAATCTCTTTGGGATATAGATTTAGTAGTGGTATTGCTGGGTCAGAGGGTATGCACAATTTGATAACCTTTTGGATATAGTTCCAAATTATTCTCCAAAATGGTTGGACAGCTCCACCAGAGGTGCATTAGTGTATCAATTTTTCCACATGCCCTCTAGCATTTATCAATTTCCTGTTTCATTATGTTAGCCGATCTGATTGATAGGTGTGAGATGTGTCTCAGAGCTGTTTCATTTGTATTCCTCTAATCAATAGTGATTCAGAGTATTTTTATTGTTATTATAGCTTTGATTTCTTCTGAAAACTGAACAGGCAGTTTTCAAAAGAAATACAACCTATCAATACAAGCTTAGTTGTGGTACCTATAGGTCAAAGGATTTAGTATCTTTCTGGTCATAGTCCCAAATTCCTTTTCAGAATGGCTACATAATTCACAGCCTTACCAATGGGATAGTAATTCCCTTCCAACAGTTTTCACTCTACTTTTTTTTGTCAACTTTGCCAGTCTGAGAGGTGTGAAGTGAAACTTTAGAGTTGCCCTAATTTTCATTTTTCTAATTACTAGCGGTCTGTAGCATATATATGTGTATATGTATATATATACACATATATGCACATATATATATTATATATCAATTTATATTGATAGGTTGTATCTGATCAATGCAAAGACCAATCGTTATTCCAGTAGACTAATAATGAAGTACAATTACCACCTCCTAATGGAAAACTGATGAACTCAAAGTGCAAAAGGAAAAAATATTTTGGGACATGAACAATAAGGGAATTTGTTCTGCTTGATTAGGAATACATGTTATAAGTTTTTCCTTTTTCTTTTTCTTTTTAAAGAGGGAGAGGAAAGAGGAAAAGATCTCTATATCTACATGGAAAAGTATATCTCTATACTTTTAAAGTATAAAAATCAGTAATTCCAAAGTCTAACTCCAACTACCTAGTTGTATATATACTTTTTTTTAGAATAGGCAATGGAGTTAAGTGACTTGCCCAGGGTCACACAGCTAGTAAGTGTTATGTGTCTGAGGCCAAATTTGAATTCAGTTCTTCCTGAATCCAGGGCCGGTGCTCTATCCACTGTGCCACCTAGCTGCCCTGTATGTATACTTCTTTCCAAACAGTCATAGTATGAAACTGGAAGTATCATCCTGGCCAACTACCTTCTACAAATGGGGAAACTGAGGCCAAGAGAAGTTAAGTCACTTGACCTAGGTGCTATAGGTAGTAACAAAACCACAATTTGAATCTAAGACAACAGATTCCAAATTTATTGCTCTTTCTACTACAGCACAATACTTCATATGGTAGAGAATGGCTTTTCATCTTAAAAAAAATTCAACTTTTACCCTTATACAGAGAATCCATAAGGGAATCGGTGAGGCTCGGTTTTCATGCCCTCACTGAAGATGGCGCGCTAAGTCGTCGCGCAGTGGCTGACGGGCGCACACTGATTGGCTGGCTGCAGGGGAAGGGGCGGGGCAGACAGAGAATTGTGAGGTGACTTCCGGTGCTATGGCGACGGGAGGCGAGCAGAGCGCGGCGGCCTCCGGGCCTGGACCGTTGCAGTCCGTGAGCACCCAGCTCGATTCGCTCCTCGTGCAGCTACTCCTGGACCTTGAGCAGCTGGAAGGGAAGCGGGTGACCCTGAACGCCCGAGTGGAGGAGGGCTGGTTCTCCCTGTCAAAGACTCGCTATGCCCTGGGTGCTAAAGCTGTCAGCCCCCTTCAGTATAGCTCCTGTATGGCTCCCTTCTTCCGGGTCTGCACCAGTGAGCCCGAGACTGGTCGGCCTGAGTTCGAGGTGATTTTCGCTAGACCCGGGTCGCCGAAGGACGTGAGAGCCCAGGAGGCCCAAGGTGTGAGTGATTATGAGGAGGCCGAGTCCGAGTCTGCCGTGCTGCGGAGGCGGCCCCAGCCTCAGGGGTCGGCCTTGCAGACCACCCCACCTACACCTGCCGCCGCGACCTCTCCCGAGCGGGATCCCCTGACCTGGTTTGGGATCTTGGTGCCCCAGAGTCTGCGGCAGGCCCAGGGAAGTTTCCGGGCAGCTCTGCTCATGGCTGGGGAGATTGCCGCGCTCCAGAGCCGAATCGAGTGGGGAAGAGCCCAGATTCAAGCCCTACTGCAGGAGAAGCAGAAGTTGCTTGATCAGCTGAAGGTGGTATGAACACATTCCTCCTGAAATTTAGAATCTAAATAAAGGATTTAGCCCTTATTTGATGACTTTAAAAAAAAAATAAAATTAATTTTTCCTTTTCTGTAGAAAATGACACATTTCCTTTGCTTTCCAAAGTTCCCGCTGTTACATTAAAGAATCAGACATGAAAAATATGAAATATATTTTTTGCATTGTCACAAAAGACTCTGAAGCATTAGGAAGTAAACTAATGTGTAACCTTTGCACAGTTGTAGCATCGTTTTTGCCAAAGATTGTCCTTAACCTAAAATATGTTATTTGGAATATGGAATGCTTAATTTATAAATATTCTATGTCTGAATGTAAATGGGTGGGGGCAGGGAAGAACTGAGATCAGAGGGAAATTACTCAAAAGAGAAATCCCATATTGCACATATCCATCAGCGTGGATGAAATGAAAGCGTTTCTATGGTTATTGGTGCTTAGAAATGAAAAGTACCAGACAAAGGTGCCAAGAGTGAGCTGGTGGTACAAGAGCCATAGAGTGCCTACTAAGAAACCAGAATTCCATGGGTGTATAATGATTACACACACACACACAATTATACACATCTGTTACAAAAAATATAAATGGAAGGAAAAGAAAAAACAAAACTGAGCTCTGTTACAATTATAATAACCAAGTTTGGATTGGATAAAAAGAAGAGCAAATGTACCTCTTTGCCTAATTTGAAGGTTGGGGGTGGAGGGGATTCCATGAGTTTGGATCATCACATACTGTCAGATTCAGTTGCTGTGGTGTTTATTTCTGCCGAACTATATTTTTTCTTTTTCATTTTTGCTCTGTTACAAAGGATTGTTACAAAGCTTGGAGGGAGATGGGGAGAAAAAGGGGTAAGATAGAAAGTATCTATTCAGAAATGAAGATGATATAAAAAGACATTTTTAAAAGTTTTTAATTTAAAAAAGCAAAAATAAATTCTATAGCAAAAGTATCCTTATGAAAAGAACTCAGAGGGCCTCGTGAGGTTTTTTCCATCCTCTACTTAAAAGAGTTCATTACCCCTGCCCTCCAGAGCCCCAACTTTTTGGTTACTTTGAAAAATCAAAATATAGATAAGAAAAATGGTCTTCTTAAAGATGAAATAATTTCTTTTGCTCACATAAGATTCAAGAGCATGAAAACTGAATATGAATGTGTAACGTTGGCAAAGTCACTACATCACTTTGTTAGAAGTTACCTTATACTAAAATTCATTATTAGTAAAAACCTTAGTCATGCTTACTATACAGATATTGTATGTTTGCGTGGTGGTAGGAGGAAATAGAGATCAGAGGGAAGTTTACCAAACACTTCTAGAATAGAAAATCAAACATACTTACCTACTAGCCCCAGAGCTTGAAAATTGTTATCACCAATAGTGTGAGTGTAATCCATTCATGATCACTGATAATAATTTAATTTTTAAACCATCTCAGTCTAAAATACAGTATTTGAGGAGAGATAAAGAGGCTTAAGCCACTGAAAGGTCTGAGGACTAAGCAGAGCTCAAAGGACAAAAGAAGCCAACCAGAAGGTAAAGAAGAGGAAGGAAAAGAAGAAGAGATGTTTTTAAAAACTGTCAGAAACAAGCAGAGACAAAAAGGACAAGAGCTTTTTTTGGTGGGAGTGTGTTTACAGGTTGAAAGTATCAGACAAATGCTCCAGGGGTTAACTGGGTCCTGTGTAGCGTACCCACCCAGTGTGTACCAGGGGTTTTTGTTTTTTTCAAATAGTTCATACTAACTCTTTTGTGTATCACAAATATATCCTCTGTGCATGATGATGTCCTGGGTTTTCACAATTCTTTTATGAAATTTAAAACTAATGAAGAGGAAGAATGAAAAATTTCCACCAAATACTATTTAGTGTAAGGAAGGGTGGATGATGGATGGCAGAATGGGAACTAATATAAGGCCTTGTGTATTCCAGAAACTTGACAGGTTAAAGAATAACTGAAAATATTAGTAAATAATTTTATCAAAGGTATCACTCAGCCTTCATGAAAGATTTTTCTTCACCCATAACACTTTCTATATTCCATTTCTTAAATGATCCCAGAGGATGAAACCCAACTAAGTATATCTTAGGAAAAACACAGCAAGGCATCATGAATAAGTAAAAAGGAAAGATGTTCCATCTACTACCTGTTCTACACAATCTTCTGCCGCCTTGGGACAATTGGGTTTAAAAAAATTAGGCTAGAGAAATCGGTAATAGAAAGGTTCCATTCATTCTGTTGTTATGGAGGACAACCTGAGATCATGACCCTTAGGGAATTAAAAAACAAAAAGGAACTTCCAGACCTCAACTAAGGAAAGAAAAAAAGGCATATTAGGCTCTTCTGTTTACTCAGAAAATGTCATCCTTTGTATCTTGTCTCCCAGGTGTAAATTTTTGGCTCTATCAGGGTGGGGAACCTGCAGCCTGGAGGCCACATGTGGCCCTCTAGGTCCTCAAGTGACTTTGACTGAATCCATACTTCACAGAACAAATCCCCTTAATAAAAGAATTTGTTCTGTAAAACTTGGACTCAGTCAAAAAAGGCTGCACCCAAGGACCAAGAAGGCCACATGTGACCTCCAGGCCACAGGTTCCTCACCCCTGAATATTGGCTTGGGAAAGCAACCTTTATAAACAGGAAATAAAGATATATACTTTAACAGAAGAAAGGAAAATCAGAAAGAAAGAATTTGGTTGATATGAAAGGAATCTGGTAATATTATTTAGGCTAACTTCTTTATCTAATAAATGAAAAAACTGAGTTAATTTCCCTGGATCACACTTCAAGTCATTCACAAACCACAACTAGAACCTGGGTCTATCTTCTACTACAACTAGAACTCTAGTCTCTTAATTTTCAGTATAGTCTTTCACAGTCTTTCTTTCTTTCTTTCTGTGAAAGAAAAGAGTATCTAATGAAGTTGCCCCTTCTCACAGGCCAAGAGCAATTGGCCTTGCTAAAGTTGGCTCTAGTCTAGTTTTATCAACTCACGGCTGTAGTCTTAGCAAGTTATTTAACCTTTTTGTGCCACATTTCCCACACCTGTAAAATGAAAGAGTTGGACTATGTGTTGTCCAAGGTCCATTTAAACTCTATATCTATTACCTTATTAATATAAATCTGGTATGTGCCCCACATCCTAGAATGACAGCAATCAAAGATAACAATAATAGTGTTTTTGTACTTAAAGCATTTTTCCAAAATCCTTTGAGGTATGCGGTATTATTATCCTCTTCTTTAAAAGAGAAATTCAATTTTAATTTCTAAGTAATTTGCCCAACTTCACACACTCAAAACACAAAATCAGATTTTCTGAATGAACGACAAGCGAACTTTACACAATGCCTATCCTCCCATCAGGAAGGATCTGATGTCTGTAGAACTGGATTCTTATGTCTGTGCTTTCCTTTCACTCGCCCCTCCTTTCCCCCTTTCCCCTAAGCCCACTTTAAGGAATTTCACTTCCAAAATTGAACAATATTCCTTCCTAATTACCTATTGTCATTGATCTTTAAAAGGTATTGATCATTTTTCTTCTAGCTCTGGAGACGTCCCAACAAACAGACATTGGATGCCACCATCAATCATGCAGATAAACAAGATTGTAGCTGAGGAGGTAAACATTATAGATCCTCAGGATTAAAGAAAGAAGAACAAGGAGGAAAGAAGACAATGTAAATAGAAAGAATAAGAAAAACAAAACTGAGCCCTATATAATTACAATGACCTAGCAGGAGATTCTCTTAGCTCCTACCCAAAGCAAAATAAACCTGCTTCATTTAACATTTTCCAAATCCTAATGGAGGTAGGAATAGCCAAAATCTATAGCCATTTGGATCCTGATATGAGAAACTTGAACTTAAATTTAGAGAATAAAAATAGTTGAGAAATGTAAAGAATGAGACTAAAATACCAATCCACCAAAGGTGGAAATATTCAAAATAAGCAAAGTGACCTAGGCCATACCTGGGTTTGCCATAGTTAAATCTCACCTCAAACAATTGTGTGCAGTTCTCATTAACTCATTTCAGAAGAGACACCAGGGTGTTGAGGGATTGATTGAGAGAACTGGAGATATTTAGATAAGCAAAGAGAAGACTTAGTGGTCTTCAAATATTTGTGGGGTTATCATGTGAGACAGGGATTATACCAGCTTGACTGAAGAAGATAGGACTAGGACTTAGGGACATGAAAAAAGGTGACTTCTAAATCAGTTAAAATTTATTACTTTGATTTATCTTAGTTTGATTGAAGGATTATTTCCTTTCCTTAAGAAGAACTAAGCCAGGGGCAGCTAGGTGGTGCAGTGAGTAGATAGAGCACCAGCCCTGGAGTGAGGAGGACCTGCAGCCTCAGACACTTGACAATCACTAGCTGAGTGACCCTGGGCAAGTCACTTAATCCCATTGCCTAGCCAAAAAAAAGAGCCAAACCAGCATAAATATTCCTTTAAACCTAAATTACTTACAGATTTAGTAAATGAATATTTTAACAAGATTTAGTATGCTTTTAATAATATACTTGGTGGAACAGTGAACTGATTCAGCCATTTTAGAAAGCAATCTGGAATTATGCCTGAAGAGTTATTAAACTACCTATACCCTTTGACCCAGCAATCCCACTACTAGATCTATTTCCAAAGATGGTTAGGGAAAAAGGAAAAGAACCTATATATTTTAAAATATTCATATCATCTCTTTGTGGTGTCAAAGAACTGGAAACTGCAGAGATGCCCATCAATTAGGGAGTAGCTGAATAAGTTGTGGAATATGATTGTGATGGAATACTACTATGCTATAAGAAATGATGAGCTCACTGATTTTTGAAAAACATGAATAGACTTGCATGAAATAATGAAAAACAAAATGAGCAGAACCAAGAGATCATTGTATAGTAACAGCAATATTGTTTTAAGAACAACTTTGAGCAACTACATTTTTTTGACTATTTTAAATACCCAAATTAACTACAAAAGACCTATGAAGGAAGATACTATACACCTCCAGAGAAAGAACTGATAAATAGAAATGTGTATAGAATGATTTTACATATATATACATATTTGTGTCTCATGGTAGCTATCTTGAGGGCAAGGGGATGGGAGAGGGAAGGAAGAAAATAAAAGGAAAAAAAGAAAGTTACCAGATAACATTATTATATATTTAAAAGGAATAGCAAGTTGTACGTAATCGATTTGCAATTTTATGTGCAATCATCTTTTTTT